AGCGCACTCCGGGGTTGTTATGTCAGTCCCAGAATACCCCGGCTGGCCCTTTCTGCCACCCAGGGCGCTGAGGGAGGACGTGAGGTGCCCAGTCTAGGAGCACGGAGCTCAGAGCGGGTGTGCGGCAGGGGGGGCTCCCAGGACCAGTGTCCCCGTCCTAGCCCAGCCTGTCAGGCACTATCCTTGCTCTTACCACACGGAGCCTGGTGCCATGTCCCGAAGCACCGTGGCCCCAGGACACGTGCTCATGTCGTGACAAGCCCGTGGTGTGCCGGCACCAGGAGAGCCAGGTCAGGTCCACAACGGGGGTGGGCGGGGAGGCGAAGCGTGAGTGTGGGAAGCAGCCACATGCCTCACCCGACTCGCCTGTCGTAGGCTGGCCTCCATCTCTCCTCGCTGGCAGGAGCTGGCTGAGACTCGCGACCAGGGTTTGAGCGCCCTCCCTCCGGCACATGCAGGCACATGCACTGGCAGGGTGCACTGGCCGTGGCCCTGGCTGGCCTCAAGGGGAGGGCTTATGGGCCCCTCTGGTGATGGCCTCTTCTGCTCTCCAGTGCGGGAACATGGCACGGGAAGGGCTGCGGACCCTCGTGGTGGCCAAGAGGGCATTGACGGAGGAGCAGTACCAGGACTTTGAGGTGAGCACCTCCGTGTTGGCTCCTCCCGGGAGGGCGTGGCTCCTCAGGAGGCAGCAATGCGCTGTCCCTGGTGGGGGCCCAGGGTCCGTGCCCAGCCTTTGCTCCAGCACCTGGCCAAGGAGAGCCTGAGAGCCACATCCTCGCCCCCTCTAGCAGATGGTTTCCATGCGACAGGCCCGCGTGGAGCAGGACACGCACACACACGTGTCCTCTGTGCCCAGGGCTGGTCGGTCCAGTCGTGTGGGCCTGCATGGAGCAGGACACGCACACACACGTGTCCTCTGTGCCCAGGGCTGGTCAGTCCAGCCGTGTGGGCCCACATGGAGCAGGACACGCACACACATGTGTCCTCTGTGCTCAGGGCTGGTCGGTCCAGCCGTGTGGGCCCGCATGGAGCAGGACACACGCACACACGTGTGCTCTGTGCTCAGGGCTTCTCGGTCCAGCCGTGTGGGCCCGCATGGAGCAGGTACACGCACACATATGTGTCCTCTGTGCTCAGGGCTGGTCGGTCCAGCCGTGTGGGCCCACACAGAGTAGGGCATGCACCTTCCTGTTCTCTGTCCTCAGAGCCGATACACTCAGGCCAGGCTAAGCCTACATGACAGGAGCCTGAAGGTGGCGGCCGTGGTGGAGAGCCTGGAGCGGGAGATGGAGCTGCTGTGTCTGACAGGTGTGGAGGACCAGCTGCAGACGGACGTGCGGCCTACTCTGGAGCTTCTGCGCAACGCCGGGATCAAGGTGCCTGCCCCCGCCGTAGCCTCCGCTGTTCGGGCGAGCGTCCCGGCGCCTGTGTCTGAGCCTGCTCTGTGAAACCTGCAGCTCCTGGAGTGCA